TGTTGTGTCTCTGTAGCACCTACAATGCCTGGCACATGCTCATCACCCTTCCTATTGAAATGTAATATGCATGGCAGCAGGGCCTTGCTCAGCTTGGAACTGCAGTTCTCAGCACTGTGTTTGACATATAGGAAATGCACATTATGTAGCAGAAGAGGGGAGAATTCTGCTTTCCCTATCATTCATAACTTTTCCATCAAGCTACTAATTGAACCAAGCACAACCTTGCTTCTGATTTACTCTGATGCTATATGGTGTTCTACCACTAAGCAGCTACAACAAATCAAAACAGAATGATGAAAATTCCATGGTAAATATGTCACAACTTTTCATAGGCTCGACAGAAATTCCTAGAGTTATTATTTAGAGATAAGACAACCATGTGAAGATTGTAGCTTCCACAGTAACAAAACACTCTTCCACATGGGTGAGTTGTGGATCCTTCAGCCTCCCATGGGAGGGTACATACTGCTTGTCCTCAGTAGACCTCTCAATCCTTGCTCTCACAGCTCTGTTCTGAAGTATGTGCATTTCCTGTACCTCTCAGAACATTTTCCCAGCTTGCTTCCTACTTCCCATTCCATGCCTGTCTCACTGTGATGCCTGTGTACTCTGGGCCAACTGCCACCTTTCATTCCTCTGGGCCAATAGCCTTTCCTCTTTGATGCTCTCCTTGAAGCTCTGGCTTCATCAGAAAACATTTTCATGTCCCTTTGCTGTTATCCAAGCATTCTTGGTAGGAATTTTATCTCATCCTTTCCTCAAACCATAAACTCTATCCTTTTATGGAGAATCACAGTCAAGACATTTCTTCTTTCTGTAAAGAACTATGCTATGTGCCAATACTTCTTGTCAAATACAATTTTATTTATTTATAATTCTAATTATCTTCTTACTGGACAAGTCACTGGCTTATGCAAATGTTTGTTCAGTTCTAACCATAAGAATGAGCATTTATTTCTAAGACTTCTTTAACTTGATATTATCTGTCAGACTTGCAGATATATCCAGCCTTTCAACACTGCAATGTGATGTTGTCTTCTACAAAATTCATGCTCAAGGATACACGATTTAGTTACAAAGAAATTGTAAACAGCATCTCAACGTTTTAAGTATGCTTCCAATTTTGTATCGGGGTGCATCCCTAGCTACCCTCAGCTACATGTGGTCCACGAGCTTCAGGGTGGATAGAGCAAGAAGCAGTGTGAAAGAGAAACAGTACCAGCTCTGTTTATCATTGTATCCTCAGTGTCAATAATGACTACTGCTGAGCTGAGAGATGCTTAGTAGACGCTGGGATGAACACATGGCTCAAGCCACATGATATGTGAGTTTAGATGTGGACATGTATATTCACAGTCCTTTGTGTCACGTGATGTGTAGGCTCTACTTCTCTGTCACAGAGCATATATGTTTACCAATCTCAAAAGTAATTATCCAGTAAACTCACCTAATTTATATGAGTGAAATTTTATGCCTTCCATATTAGCATTTTGGAAAACCAAGTCCCTTAGGGTATTTTTTTTTGCATATCCATACCAAGTACAGAAGCCCTAAGTGGGAAGGTAAACAGGAGCTCCCTTTATTCTTCGGCCATTTCAGTACCCAGCCGCATATGTATAAAACAAAGGTTTGAAGAATTACCCGAATGCCCTTTCCTTTCCTCATTCTGTGAGGTAGGCAAACCTTTCCACTAGACACTTTTACTGTCCTCTAGTCAATCAGTTAAACAATAAAAGGTTATAAAATGCTATAGCAATATTTGTAGAATATGGTGATTATAAAAACTTAATACGGAGTAATAAAATTTAAAAATGAGATGTTTCCAGACAATTTCTCATACTAATCTCTCATCCCTCATCCGTGCTGTACCAGCAACTTTGAGAAGTGGTACCCAACCAATTTCTTGGGGTTGATTTCTAATTCAACAACTTCTGTCTTGGATACCACCATCATCATTAACTTTCTGTTTTATGAGAAGAAGAAAAGGAAGTGTTGATTATTGCTTGTAATAATAAGGAGAAAAGTAATAATGATAAAATGCAAATGTTTACTGATACTTGGTCAATACTAGGACTCTGGACTATGTTCTTCCATGAAATCGTAAGAAAGTTCATGCTACTAGCCCCATTTTTTCACTGATAAAAGTGAGAATTAAGGCAATAGTTTTGTACAGTTCTAAGTGAGAGAAGCAGCATTTTTGCCTCGTATATCTGTTATCTTATAATCCATAGAATGGTTAACTGGGCTTATGATTAAGTACATTTTTATTCATTACATAAAAATTACCAAATAAAACATACCACATGAAACTAATAAAACACAGAGAGAACAAATGATAGCATGAGTCTTTACAGGCTTCTGCAATATACATTTTCCAGAAAATTAAATTTTAGCCATATATATATACACTTTATATGTTATATCTCCTAATTACCAAAAGCCTGTTCTATAAAATGATGATGACAAATAAAAGGTATTTTATTGGTGAGTCCAAATTGTATAAAAAGCTCACAAAGAAAGCGATATTTGCATTAAGTGGCACTGCAGAATGACTGGACCCTAACCTGGACAAAGATAGGATTATAACACTTCAGAGACACTGGAGTCTACCACGAACACATAGACACATATATAGGATTATACAACATATATAATGTTGTGCTTCACTATCTGTTAAATGCTAATTCTTAAAAATTTAAAACTATATGTTTAGATAATAAGTAAAACAAATATTGGATTTATCACCCAGTTAGGTTAATTATTATTCAGAGACTTGTTCATTTTACTCAGAGATATGAGCAATACCAAAAGGGTGCAGATGAAAATAATCCATTCAAAAGCACCTTCATCCCCCTTTTCCTCCACTTTTTCAGTTCAGAGTGTTACTGAGACCCATTTCCTGTCCCATGATAGCAGATGGTACATCGTGTGTAGAGCAGAGAAAGCCCCTGAGTGAGTGACTGTGTACTTCGACATGGATGCATCCATGTTACAGACTCCAAGAGCAATCAACTCATGGGAAATTGGCTAAGCTGTTACCCGTATGGGCTTGGCTCAAGATGAATGGCAAAGCTTTCCTCAGGGAGTCTGAGTATGAGTGTTTATGAAAAATTGATCAGTGTGTACAGACTAGCAGCTGTGGCTTCCTCCTCCCAGATGTCCACAGACTGAGCCTGCCCACTTACAGAGACTACGGAGTCTAACTGGCCCCTGGACTGTTTCTAATAAACATCTGAGGTCCAGGTTGGTAGTGGTAGGAAAACCCAACCTGATCCCAGCTTTGCTGTATGTGTGGCTGTGTGTGTGTCTTTTCTTCATTCCTTCCACACCCCTAGGCAGGGTCCTAGAACTCAAGCCACGTGGGTCTTGACAACTGAGATTGTCAGAGAGAGCAGGAATGTCTACTTCTCAAACTTGCAAACTGAAATCCCTGAATCAGGAGATTTTTAACTTCGTTAAAACAGGGAAAGTGAAACTTATTTGAGTGCTATGAAGAAATTTAATATTGATAAAATAATAACTTCCAGTGGTGAACACACAGCTCTATATAGATGTTTATAAACAATCTGCCAAGTTTTCAATCATATATCATTTCTTAATATTGAGTCCTACCTTTTACCAGAAGCAAAACAACCATGTTTCCTAGCATTTTATGAGAAGACAGTGGTTTATGCATTCATCGATCATGTTTTAATCATGGGCCTCAGTAGTAACACAGTGTCAGAGCAAAAAGCAATATTGGGAAAGTCTGATCCTAGAACTGTGTTTGCCGTCTGAATACACAAATATGCACTCAGTTTCATAGGGAGTGAGTCAATACTATGAGATTTCATATTTGCAGAGAGGGGGCTTAGTGCTTAGATTTGTATGTAGGAGAGAATAAAGATATGGGATTTACAAATCTTCTATTAAATCTCTGCATAAAGCAATAGCTTACTAGTAGAGTGTAACTCCATACATGGCTGCACAGCTACCACAACTAATAAAGTAACTAAATATTATCACATGAGCATGTGACAAAGTATCTTCTTCCCTCTGAAAAACGAGACCCTTAATAATGTATTTTGAAACATTTCCATTCTAACTCACCTTGTTATTTAAAAACCATAGTAACTGCATTAGCAGATGATTAAAAACCCCAATCTATATGAAATTTTACAAATAAACATCTTTTTTAACAGGTTGTGGCAGTCTGAAAGAGAATGGCCCCCATAGGCTCACATACTTGAATGCTTAGTCACCAGGGAATGGAGTTGTTCGAGCAGGATTAGAAGGATTAGGAGGTGTGGCCTTGTGGCAGGAGGTGTGCCCTGTGTTGCTGGGAATGGACTTTGAGATTTCAAAAGTCCATGCTAGTCCCTGTGTCTCTGCTTCCTGCTATTACATTCATGGACTAACCCACTGTGAGCCAGTCTTCAATTAAATGCCTTCCTTTATAAATTGCCTTGGTCATGATGTGTCTTCACCATGAACAGAATAGTAAATAAAGACAGGCTCTTAGTATATAACATTGGCTGACCTGGACAGCTCTCTATATATGTCAGGCTGGCCTTGAACTCTTAGAGGTCCCCTTGCCTCTGCCTCCAAGTGCTGTGATTAAAGGGACATTCCACCATGCCTGGTTTAATCATTTTGCTATCAACCTAATTTAAAAGGAACTCAGAAATAAGTGTCTGGATCTCAGGCAGTTCATTTTCATGGCATTTTATATTACTGTCATCTAAAAAGTTCAAGTCTGAACAACTACAAAAGAAATCCTTATTTACCTTTAAACACTCACAATGACCAAGGTCCATAAAAGATTTATGAACTTTCATTTCATATATAATTCTACTGTGCACAGGCTGCCCCTCCTGTTTTACCATTTAAGGAAAGCATTATTTTGTAAATTTAGATATCAAAACTCTGACATGAAATGACTCAATAAATAAGTATATAACAGAAAAACACATGGTTTTCTCTAGTGCTAAAACACAATGAGACTTTGTGTCTCTTACCTTTGCCATGGCTTCTCCCATCCTCCAGGAGCGGCACAACAATAGTGTTGTTCACATTTCCAGGTGACCGTACAGCTGTGTAGACAACTGGCACTGACTGTACCACCACAGGGATTCGATGAACATGACTGAGTTTGTTAGACTGTAAGTTCATGGGACTGGAAGGTGGGACAGGATGAATGATGTGCAAAAACTGCTGGCCGCCCACACCAGATGCAGAGGCAACAAGGGGTCCTGGAGATAACACTGTTGACGAAGACGATGCTGAAGATACTGATGTTATAACAGTGGGGGATGAGGCTGGACGACTAGAAGATGATGAAGAGGTTGAAGTTGAAGAAGGTGAGGAGGCAGACGCTGTCATGGAGACTGGGGAGGATGAAACTGCGGTAGGGGAGGTCCTGGCTTTGTTGATTGACAAGTCCACTGGCTCAGTTTGTGTCTGGAAGTGATCTACAGGCAATGAGTCCTCTGGGGGCTCCCCTTTCACATTATTTAGCAACAGGGGAACAGCTTCCATATCGGGGTAGTTGTGGACGTTTGGAGACTGCAGGGAGAAAATGGAACAGATTTATCATTATTAATGATATATTTCAATAGATGCATGATTTCTTATTTGAAAGCATAATAAATTTTCCCTATTTCAGTGGGGCTTTAATTTATATTTAAGTTTATTTATAAACTTTTATTTATATTTACTTTATATTTAGTTTATATACTTTTATGCAAATCTGTAGACATATCACACAGTTTATTCAAATATTCAAAATTTTTTCTCTAAATCACAATGATGAAAACTCTAGTGAAAAGTACAACAGAGAGTAAGAAAGTCTTTCAGCATGAGGACATTTCCTTTCCATCGGGAGGACAAACACACAACTCCTTAAGCTACATCCACTGTTTATACAAGAGGTTACAGGAATTTCAAAATGGTCAGTAAATTCAAGTTGAATTTTCTAAAGACAAGCTCAGGGTGTAAAGCTTCATCTTAGAATTGTGTAAACAAGACTGATTTAGTTAAAACATCGCTTTGCTCTTCTGAGTCCTGCTGCACTGGGGGTCTGGTTGAGTGTCTTCTGAAGAAGGAAGGAGAGTTTTCATGAGATGTACTGAAGCATTGTTCCCGGTTCTGGAGTTGCACAATGTCATGAATGATTTTACCCTTGTGCTACATGACCCTCATCGAGAGACAAAATACCATCCAGCAGCAATCTTGGGAAACTTGCTGTGACCTTTCTGCATTTATGTTCAGCACAAGAGCTACCCGGACATGCTCATTCAGAGAAGGCACACGGAGTTCTCTAGTCTCCCAGCACGGGTTGTCAAGTTACCGAAGTTGAATCATTTGAAATGGTTGAATTCTAACCCTCAGTGCCTGACATGGTGTTTTTTCCCTCTTAAGATATTGCATGCAATTATGACACTGAAACCTGAGGAAAGTTTTCAGAAAATCCTACACGAGAAATTTTAAGTTGTTTATTCACATTTTGTTTGATTTAAAATGGTAATTTTATTTAGGTTCATTTGTATTTTTGTAAGTTTTAATGAGAAAAGTTTAATAATAAACTCCCTACAGTTTAACACACTAATATTCTCAGCACAGCATTAATGGGCATGAGTCCACATCTATTAATTCCTAAGTTGAGCAAGTATACATGAAATGCACACTCCTGGGACCAAAGGGTCCACGTTCTATTGGAGCGTGTCAGTAGAGCCTTGACAGAGAGAAGCAGGCCACAGCAGATTATTTGGTTACGTCTAATTTAACCAAGTCAACACTCACATTAGTATTAGTCTATTAGATGAAAACCCCAAATTGTTATTTTCAGCTATCTTATGGTATCAGAACAACAGTTATGTTACGTCGGTCATTTAAATCTTCATTTCATGAAAGTTTTTCATTTGCTATTCTCCTGAAAACATGAAAATGTATTTCAATTTTTTTAAAATTATTCTTAACAACTTTCATTATAGAATATAAATTATAGTTCTGTTCAAAGCATACAAAGGCAGTAGTGAGAGGGCATTTTATTCAGTCACAAGAAAAACATATCAACAGTGGTACCAGATCAAATGAAAGGAAAATGGGTTGATGTTTTTATGCCTTTTACCTCTTCTTGGCTAAAAGGGTTGCCTGCAAAAGCATATGAACTAGAAATACAAAAGCTAAGTGATCTATAATGCATTCTGTATGGAATTCTAACTGGGATTTGCACTTTAGGTACTAAAGCAGAGAAACAATTTTATAAACCATCCCAAACGCATTAAGAAACAAACAAACAGCAAAACACTATAAATTGCACTACTTTTGTGCAAATCTGTAGACATATCACACCTCCTATTAGAGCAGAATGTTGGTTTATTCTTCGAATCATCATTAAAGTTTTGTTTTTGTAGGATAATGTGAGTTGTTTCTTATCAGTTTATTCATATACAGAAAGCCCTTGATATGCTTTCCTAACAGATAGTAACTGGTTCATAATCTAAAATTTAAATCATTCAATGCATTATTAAACAGTACCAATCTCTTTGAGTACATATACTCTTGATTGGTTATGTATTAGACAAACTAGAGACTCTTAATTTGGAAACAATGGTTATTTCTACCTTATGTAGGAACAGACCTTTACAAATAGAGGGTTGAAGAGTATTTAATCCCTGTAGAAGCAGTTCCAAATGGAAATGAAAGAATGCATGGGCAGATAATGACAAGGGAATTGGGGCATACAGAGCTTATAGAAAGAGGTGGCTTCCAAGGCACCACGCATCACTGTGCTTTGAGGTATCCCAACTGCTTGTACTGTGACCAAGAACCCACCATTTGCATGGCACTATGTAATCCCCAACTGAGGACAATACTTCTTTCATGACCATGGTATAGCACCAGATAATGGCTCCCTCTCTGTCCCACTGGATAGACTAGAAAGTTATAGACAAAACTTAGAGAACTCCTAACTCCTCCCAGATGCCTGAAAATCACACAGCTTTCTTCTATGCTCTGAACCGTTGGATCAAACACCAGAGGCTTTGGAAAGTGATGCATGAATTTATAACCACAAATATCACAGAGACACATGGTACCTTTTCTCTAATACACAGTTAAAATGAAGCCAGTATATTAAATAATTATGCTCAATCAATATCATGACAATAAAATCTTTTTTGTGCCCTTCATCTGCTTTCAGTGTCGACAGGGCATCCCAAAAGCCATTACTAATCCCTTGAGACACACAGCATGGCAAGTAAGCTGTACAAACTTCCAGCTTTGGGCAGTACATACCTGTTTGTAAAGTCAGCGATGTTACAAGACAAGGCCTCTAAATAGCTATGACACCTCACCCTCCTCGTTTTAAGAAATGGGGAAGACCTCCAAGGCTCAACCCTGGAATCACCATTAGGAATTCATTTCTTTGCTTTCCAAAAGTGGGGAATTGAAACGCATTCATTCTGAGGTTTGGATCCCTAAGTGGGAAGCTGGGGTGAGGTGCTGGTAACACAGCTGAATGCCAAGAGGGAAAAGATGGAAAAAGTGCTGAAGAAGCTGAGGATCCCATGAAGGATGGGAGCGGGGCAGGCCCGGAAGGGGAAGGCACACCCAGGAGGCAGCAGAAATAAACAAAGATCGAAAGCTCTGCAGGAGACACTTCTGTGAAAAGAGCAAAGGAAGAATTGCATAGCGAAATTTCACTTCTCCAGCAACTGCTCATTTCTTGACACATCCATGAACATCTATAGTGTACAGACTAAGTTGTTTTGTGGTCTTCCATACACAAAGATTTTGGCTTGGGAAGCTGTCATATAAGCTGAATTTCACTGTTGATTCCCTTGGTATGGAAGATGGAACTCTTACTACATTCTCACTGGCAAACAAAAACAACCGACTTCCTAATGCCACTGGGAATGTATGGGAATAAAGTTCTATTTTTGTCAAAGAGGAATGTAATTTCAGTTTCAAGAAAGTTATATTATACCCCTTGGAAGGGTCCACCATAAAATTTCATCCTTTTAATAATGGTTTAGGAAATAATAGTGTAAATATATACAGAAGTCCAGCAAGACAAATCTAACAATATACTTTACATACCCTAGAAAATTTGCATGCAAGCCAAATTACAAGCAGGAATACCTATTACATTATTACTTTCTCCTCATGTCATAAAATTGGTTTTACACACAAGGATCCACATGATAAAATGTTACACACAGCATCATAGTGACATGCTCACTTAAGTGTCTGCAGGGGCAGTTGAGTCTTGCTAATCAATAACCTTCTCCCTGAATAAACAGTTTAAAATGAAACTTCAGCTTTAGGCATTTTGTTGAAGGGGTGTACAGAGGAGCCTCAAGCTCCCTCTATATTTTTTTCCCCTTGGAGAGTCCTAGAGATGTTTCCCATAGCCAGATATTATCAACAGCTGGATCTTATTCTGGTCTGCCATGGGACAAATGGTATCTTTGATTGAGATCAAGTATTTTGATCACCTGCAAATCTTAAAAGAAACAACCACGTGTGGACACCACCCTCTCTTTGGAAACCCCTGAGGAGTCTTCTGGTTGAGGAGGATTTGAACAAAAGGCTGTCATATGCTATCCAAGATGTATATGGTGCCTGTTGTTACACCTTTATTGGGACCGGAGAGTTCTGGGGATGTGTTACATACACATAGTATAACGACAGCTATTTAGCTATCCCTAAAATAAATTACGTTTTATGTCATTTTTACAAAAATTTTGAGCAATAATTTCCAACCAACTTTTAGGAAATGTTACAAAATGATTTATCTAACATGTCTACTACCTAGGAAACGAATCTTTTGTAGGCTGTTCTGAAATAGTACAAAAAGAAAGTGAGACTTGGAAAAGAATTCCAAAGATTTGAATTCATGGCGTAACCCAGTCTACTTTTTATTAGTCATGTCATGTTGAACTCCCTAGAGGACTATTAGTCCCGAATCTGAAAAACTACTATGAAGAAGGAACTGATGGCATCAAGCTCTTGTAACAGTAAAAAGAGAATCAAATGATCATTTTTTTTCTTCTTGGAAGTAAAAACTGCAAACGAAGCCAACATATTGTGACAAGTATCTCAGAGCTGAGTGATTCAACCTATTCCAGTGCAAGATTGCAAAAGGCCTCACTGAAGAGGCACAGGCCTTGCAAAGCAAGGAGACACACATACAAAATAAGTTGTCCTTGGGACATCATGTGGTTAAAAATATCCTGAATATTTCATCTTTTTTTTTGATTAGTCAGATTGATCCATAAGAAAGCCAGAGCTGCTAGAACCCATTTTATCTGATTGATTTCTTAATGTTACAATATGAACAATTGCAAAGAGCATGGTTGCTTCTTCTCCCACTGCAGTAATTTAGTTTCTATTAAGTTCAGAATGTGTCTCAACCCTTAGACATGTGGCTGGAGAGATGACTCAGTAGTTAAGGCTGTGTGCTACTCTGCAGTTCAGTTCCCAACACTCACGTCAGGTGGTCCACAGCTACCTGCAACTTCAGAGCCAGAGACTCCAGAGTCCTCTGTGGTCTCCGTGGG